GCAACAAAGCGAGACTCTGTCTCAAAAAAAAAAAAAAAAAAAAAAATTAATAACAAACTTAGGTGACTCAAATCTCTGTATAAGGCAGAAAAATTCCAGTGTGTACACATTCTTTAGATTTACATAGGTATGTGCCACTGAAATATTTAATACTGTTTGCATAAAAAACATTTTGTTTAAAAATAATTAATATCTGTAGGATATAAAGAGCAAGATATTGTTTTATACATATATACACACACATTGGGATAACTTTTTTATGTGGAATGTTTTAATACTTTCAATTAATTTGATTTTGTATAATCAAAAGGTGAATAATACAAACAGTTTATATGTGGGAATTTGAAACACGGAATTCACTAAGCTTTCTTTTTCTGGGTGATTTTATTGTAGATGGTCTATTTTTTCTGCAGAAAATATGAGTTATAAGCAAAAGGATTTCCAAGAGCAATGAGATTAGATATTATTGAGATTTTTAAGTCTAACAGGTTTTCCCCCCTTCTAGTGCCATTCACAGTCTTCAATATGTTAATTTTCATTTTTCTTATTTTTTTTAAATTTCAGAATATTATAGGGGTGCAAACATTTTGGTTACATAAGTTACTTTTGAACCATATGAGTCAAAGTTATCCCCCAGATAGTGTGCATTGTGCCCATTAGGTGTGAATTTACTCATCTACTCCTCCCCCTCCCACCTGCTTGATTTCCAATAAATGTTATTTCCATATGTGGATATAAGTATTGATCAATTAGTACCAATTTGATGGTGAGTACCTGTGGTGTTAGTTTTTCCATTCTTGTGATACTTCACTTAGAAGAATGGTCTCCAGTTCCATCCAGGTTAATACAAAAGGCAATAATTCACCATTTTTTATGGCTGAGTAGTACTCCATAGAATACATATACCACATTTTTTTCAGTTTTTTGTTTAGCCGTAGGAAAAGCTGAGTTGATATGTGTTCAGAAAGCTTTGTGGACTTGTATGTATTATAGTATTAGAGATTGATTTATCTCAAAGGGATCTTAGAAATCACGTAGAGTCTTTCACCAGCCAGACGTCTGCAATGAGGAGCAGTGGTGTTCAGGGGCTCGCTCAAGCCTCAGCGGCCAGTCCCAGGTTGAGACGAGATTGGCAGGACACCCAATGTTCAGCAGACTGTTATTTTACCTGCGACTTCTGCTATCATGGAGCCTCACAGCACGTTTGGCTCACTTCAAAACTGACTTACAAAAGAGTCCCTGTTTTGTTTTGCATTTCTAATCACTGTTATCCACAAAGTTGAAGAAGAGTTGTAAATAATATGGCCTAATACATCATACCTGTTATATGTATCACTGTACCTTCCTGTCTAGAATACTGCCTTGAATAAGTGAGTAAATTAATAACGAAATCGACCAATTCTACATGGGACAAATAATCCTATGCATTTACTATTCCTGAAAGGACCTTCCACATTTCAGAAACCAAGATTTTACAGTATGTTCTACTAATAAAGTTCTCCTTTTACCGAACTTGTCATACTCATACTCATGTGTTTCTCAGATGAATCTGTTTTCATTTCTATTTCCCCATTATCTGGGATGATAAATTAACATATAATTAATGAGGAAATATGAGATTTTAAAGAGAATAGAACTATTATTGATTTGCTACATTTCTATTTTACAGGACCCAGTAAACATGAAGGTCTTCATCTTTGCCTGTCTTTTGGCTGTTGCTCTTGCAAAGCATGTAAGTATAATGAGACATTTATGAACATCTATTCTTATTAAAAAAGAGTCAATCTTTTATGTAGATGATGACAGGGGTGGTCAACAAGGAATAGAGATTGTGTGATCTTTTAAACCTACTATCAAAGACAGCATTGACTCTGCCTTATACAAGATATGAAGGTGGACACACTTTTTATGAAGTATTCTTCTTGTAGGTCTGGGGAGATTTTTAGTCATGGGTTAAAAGGTTTACACTTCCTTCTCTGTTTGCATTTACCAGAAAACTATTTTCACTTTCCTGGCATATACCTTTGAAAGCACAGGAGAATCATTGAGGAAGAATAATGGATAATGGTACTTAAACTCAAAACCACTGCTATTTGCTTAAAGTGATAGAAAGATATTTATGGTTATTGGCTGGGTGGGGTGGCTTTATGCTGATAATCTCAGATAATCCCTGCACTTTGGGAGGCAAAGCTGGAGGATAGCTTGAGGCCAGGATTTCAAGACAGCCTGGGCAGCAACATAGAGAGACCCAAAAAAGGAAAAAAGAAGATAGTTATGTTTATAGATTCAGTAATGAATTTTTAAAAAAAATGTATATTGATAATTTTAGACTTGGACATAGCTGGACATTGAGAAAATTCCTTTGTTAACTGAAATAAAAGGTGATCTGAAAGCCAAAAAAAGAAAAAAGAAAAAGAAAATGAAAGCCACAGATAAAATGTAGCTTCCAAAACCATTTCTCAAACACGTGACAAAGTTTCACCATTCTTGATTACAGTAGCTCGGAGTCTAGGATAATTAGACAGGAAACAAGGGTAACTTTATAGATTAGTTCCTAAATAATCTAATGCAAAACAATGCCTTAACTTCTCAAAGTATCATATTCTTCTAGGGAGAATATATTCATATATTCATATCACAAAATGATAAGAATGCCACAAGACCTTTTGTGTGAAGTACTTTGAAAACACACACACATAATCTACTCATGTTGTCAAGAGTAACTCAAACATTTTTTTCTTACCCTATATCTGGCATTCTCTCTCCTTCCCCCATACCTAATATCTCACTCCTCATAAGTATACCATTTCTTTAGGGTGATCAGAGTTCTTTTCTTCCTCTGTGTCTTCATATCTCACATATAAATCGTGACAAGTTTTGTTATTTATAAAATTTAGAGCCAATTCAAGAATAGGTAAGAATTGCAGTTAGGTAAATAGAAAATGATAATAATACTAATAATATGGTAATCAATCTCACACCATCTTGTTTCTTCTCTTCATGGTCTGTTAGTCTTAATCACCTTTTTCCCTTTCTCGCTAATCAGTCATTGTCCTCGATCTTTCCTTTAAATAAAATAATTTAATTTAACTAAAAATATAGTGGCTTCCGGCCGGGCGCGGTGGCTCACGCCTGTAATCCTAGCTCTTGGGAGGCCGAGGCGGGCGGATTGCTCAAGGTCAGGAGTTCAAAACCAGCCTGAGCAAGAGCAAGACCCCGTCTCTACTATAAATAGAAAGAAATTAATTGGCCAACTGATATATATATAAAAAATTAGCCGGGCATGGTGGCGCATGCCTGTAGTCCCAGCTACTCGGGAGGCTGAGGCAGAAGGATCGCTCAAGCCCAGGAGTTTGAGGTTGCTGTGAGCTAGGCTGACGCCACGGCACTCACTCTAGCCTGGACAACAAAGCGAGACTCTGTCTCAAAAAAAAAAAAAAAAAAAAATATAGTGGCTTCACTAGCAAGTGACAGATCATGGATATTAAAAGCTACTTTTGCAACAATCAATTGTAAAGGTAAGTGTAAAGTTGAGTTTGTATAATAGTTATTTATATTGAGAAAATTAATTTTCAACTTTTTCTGCCACTTGATAAAAGTACTTGCTCAATATTTTTAATTCTAACAATTACTATAAGCTAAATAAAATATAAAATCATGGTCTTAAAACATTTTAAGATCCTATAGCACATCTGTGCAGATCTTGGATCATATTTTGAACTGTGACAAGATTAATACATAAAAAACAAAACCCAACAACTTTCTAAAAGAAAATACATGTATATTAAGCCATAATAAGAACTTATTTGACATATAAAATGATTTGCTTATTAACAGTATAGGAAGCCAAGAGAATTTTGCAAAGTAACTTTAAAGGTTCCCCGAAACGGTTGTCTAAAATTCCCTTGCCACCAAAAAACAGAACAAAATAAACAAAACAGAAAAACAATCCAACATTTTAAATAAGAAATAAAAGTGAAACTTGTATTTGTTTTTGATTTTCATATAGCATAAGGAGAATCACTCCTCCAGTGAGGTAAGACACTTTAATTCTTCCACTTAGTAAACTCGTAATATGCCCTAAACTAAGTCTTTATATATGTGTATGCATATATATGTGTGATGTTTTTCATCTCTTCAAAAAAGAAGAAAAAATCAAATTAGAAATTGTGTAGAGGAAATAGAAAATCTTTTTTTTTTTCATTGTGGTTAATATTTGAGAAAGCTTTTGTTTCAGTTATTCATGATCCAAAGCACAATATAGAATCTGGTAGCTGTCTGCCATATGATAAATGAGTTCCATAGAGAATAAAACTTTGGTCAACTTTGTTCTGTAATTCAGGAAAAGATTGAATATATTAACTTTCCACTGGATGATGGGTATAGATAGATACCTTATAGCTAGTACAAATATAATTTAGGCAAATAATTAATGTATTTTTCCATTTTCTAGGAATCCATCAACATCTCCCAGGAAGTAAGTTCCAACTTCTTCAATTAAATATATTTTAACATTTTTCATTAATCAAGGTTATAAAATAAATTTATTTATTTTTTAGAAATTTAAGCAGTACAGCAATGTGGTCAATCCTCCCACAAAGGTAAAATTTAATTATTTTAATCTATTAATATTTGATGAGATAACTTTTCTATCAAACATAAGTCATTTTCTTACTTACATAAAAATGAGTATTTTAACTATGATTGTGAAAATGGTGATGTTTTTGTTGCTTTACCAAAATGCTATGGACCAATTTAAAAAAGATCCCAGAAAAAGATGTGTTAGCCATTTGTTAGTCATGTTACTAAATCAGAATATCTCTAAAAGAATTTCTTCTTAATAGTCCATTACCTTCATTTTGCTTTTCCAATTCTGCACTCATTTGTTCAAAAAATGATGTTTTATTTGCTATCACAATATACCAAAATATATCACATTGCATTTCAGTAAATGATCTATTTCCTCTTCATTTTGTTTTCTTTTCAGGAAGAGATTTGCTCCACATCCTGTGAGGTATTTATTGATGCACATCAGTAGCACAGTGTGAAGTAAAAATATTGTCATGCTTTGAGCAATAGTAAGCTGGATTTGTAAAATATATTCAATGGCAAACAAATTTGAAAACCAAGGTTATTTATAAAGAATGAGACCTAAATTACATTCCCTTTTTTAAATTCTATGAATAGTTTATTTGAAGAAAATATATGATTTGCATGAATCAACTGCTGTACTTCATTCCCAGATTTCATGAGGAATGGAGAATTTGTCATTAGTGGTCTTCACTCTTAAAACCCCTAAAATTTTCATTTTCTTGTGTTAAAATTATTTTCCTATTTAGGCTAATAAGCAATGTTTTTTTTCTTGAAATTGATTCATTTAAGTTTAAATCAACATGTTCATAATAGAAACATTATATATTTATTACTAAAACACATTAGTCATCCTAGTAGTATGTATTTTCTAATAAATGAGTAAAATGAAAAGACATTTATTCATGTGATGCCTAAATTAATCTGGTGTATTCTTTCATTCGACAAACATGTAGTGAAGACTATTGTAGGTCTTTGCATTCTATGAATACAGCCAACAACCCCCCACCCCCCCACCCGCTGCCATGGAGCTCACATTCTAGTTTACCATTGGTTGTATGTTTATTACCAAATGGGAAATTCTAATATAATTCATACAAAGTTCATACAATGAAAATGAATCTGTTCTTAGGCTTCTCTTTATACAGAGGGGATTTTTTTCCCTTTTATGTTCAGGAGAAAATACTTTGTAAACAATGTTGTGGCAAAGGTAGATCTAATTATTTTTCTTCTTTATTTAAGGAAAACACAAATAATATGAATGAAATGGTAAGAAATTTTTATTTCTATGAATATTTTGTTCATATTTTAATATGCAATATTATCATGTTAATGACATATGGGAAAGTCTATATAAACTTCCACTTTTAGTGAAATGGAAAGAGATTTATAAATTGATTTCAAAATGACATTTTCTCCCTTCCAACTTTAGTAGTACTCACCTGAATTGGTTAATATTCTCTTGGGACACTTCCATTCAATGATAAGGTGATTTTTACTCCTTTCACTTGTTTTCCAAAGTTGAGTAATAATGAACAGTTGAGAAACCTGATCGTGTTGTTTTTATTTCAATTCTTTTAACCTATCATCCTAAAGATCATGCAGGTAATAGGAGGCCTATCTAAAATAACCTCCAACATTAAAGAAATAATGCTGAAGGTTTCTTGTGGTCATCAGATTTTGATTATTAATTATTATTTCCCAAGGAATCTTCTAGAAGCTCATCTAGTGAGGTAAGAGATACTTTCTTTTATCATCAAAAAGCAAGTTCATCAAGAAATAGCAGATTTCTAGCAATTAAATGGTTTACTAATTAATGTTTTATTAAGTTGTTACCCAAATTTAATGTAATTTTGGGGAGATTGAAATTGCCTATCTGAGCAGTGCACATTGGTTTCCTATTTTGTGATCTTTGACAGTATATATCAGACTCCAGAAGAAATTGTATTTTAGATCAAGCCAGTGTCAAATCACGAGACTGCCATTGTATTCAACATGGTTTTATCCTGAAAACCATATCAATATTGCTTAGAGCAGTGGTTATCAAAGTGTTGCCCCTTGGCTAGCTGCATTAATATTATGTAGGTATTCTCATGCACTTTAACATTTGAGAACCTCTTGTTTAAAGGGGATGAAAGAGGGATTGGATTAGTAGTTGCACAGATCATTGGTACAAGAACCAGAATGTTGGCTCTGATGATAAATATTTTATTTACTTGGTTAAATTCCTAATCAATGGCATAATTTCTCAGTAGTAGTGGCTTGGTCCCTGAATATTAAATTAATTGCCCCAAATACTTTAGCATGGCTCTAAGGCTTAATCACACAAGTAATGCTGATTCTTCTTTTTTTTCCCTAAGGAATCCACAGAAAGTTCCACAGAGGTAATTTTCATTCAAATAAAATGAAATTAATATCACCTACTAGTATTTTCTTTTTGTGTATTTTTATAGCAAGTGCTTTTCTTTTTCTTTTCTTTCCAGAAAATTAAAATCACCATGCAAGAACAGCCCTCCCCAAAACAACTGGTAAATTTTTCATACAAATTATAATTTCAAGTAAACCATTATAATATGGGTGTTTCTTCTTCCAAATGTTCACACAATTTATTCTATCCCAATGAAATATTTACCCACACATTTGTAGGAATATGTTTTTTTTTTCTATTTGTGTTGCTCTGATTTCCAGCTACTATTTTGTCAAATAGATGTGGATTTATACTTTAAGAAAAATGAGTGTTTAGCATTCCCCAACTGTCTTTGGAGGAGTTACAAATTTGAGCAAATTTGTTGCAAGTTTAAATAATCTAAGTTAGATTCCAGTGTAGTTGAAGCATCACATTATTGCTCAGTCCACGTAGACTAAAGACTTTCAAGGCACAAGAGGTCATGTAACCCTGTGCTTCTCATCCCCTGAGCATGGACCAGTACAATCCATGGCCTGTTAAGGATCGGGCCACAGAGCATCCCCCACCCCATGGAAAAATTGTATTCCATGAAACTTAGGAAGCTGGGGGTGTGCACAGTAGGAGATGAGTGATGGGCCAGCCAGTGAAGTTTCATCTGTATTGATAGCCACTCCTCTCCCCAATTGATCGTCTAGATGGATATCAGTCATTTGTGACCTTAAGGGCATCTTGATTTGGGTCAGGTCGGAGAATGTAGATTTGCAGCAATAAGTGGCTGAAAATCAAGAAAAGCATTCTTTGGGCACGTTGCTGAAGGCGTGGGTATTCTACTGCATTTTTCCATATTTAAATTGGATCTTTCTTAGCATCAATTACTTTAAAATGTCATCTACTGAGAGCTCAATCAATTCCATCTGTAGTTCTTTAGGTGCCTTGGTGATATCAACTGCGTGAGGCTGAGATGCTAATTTGAGTTTGATATCATGATTCTCAAAGTCAGTGAGCCTTTCATTGTATTTCCCAATTACTAGGTCTTTAACAGCTGTGTATTCTTTAGTGATTCACACATATCATCCTGTTCGTCAGTGACCTTTGCTAACTGGGAAAATGTTCATCCAAAATTTCCTTTGGAAGAAGAGTGTTTTGAAAAAAGACAGCTTTTTTCAACATGCTTGGATTTTTTGCCATGTATCATATATAGACTTAGTTTTACCTCACAAAGAAATAGTCAAGTCCTTTTGCTTTGACATGATATCACACAGAAATGCTGCATTCCTATAGAAATCTTCTTATAATAATTCACATTGCTGATTCTGTTCTTCATAGAATTTAATTATCTGCTCTCTCAGGGATAAAATTTTGGTCAACACCAGTCCCTGATATAGCCAACACACTTCAGAATGATATAGCAAATCCACACTGAATACCTCATCGTTCAACTTTAGTATATTAGGAAACTGATGATGCCATGTTGTATTTGCATGAATATAGTTATTAATACTTATTGCAGAGTGTTGCAGAGTGTCGCTTATAACAGCTTTAGCACAGAGATTTTGCTGATCCAGTATAGAGTAAAAAGAAATAAGAGCATCTGGATCTGTTAATACCTTTTTATCTGTGCAATAAACCCTTCATGTTTTCCTGTCATGGAAGGTGCACTCTCTGTACATACACTTACGCTCACTAAATTTACCAAATTTTGTCCAACTTCATGACATTTATCTTGAAAGTTGTTGAAGATATCTATTCCCTGTATTCTGTTTGCAAGAGTGCCCAAAGTGAGTAACTCTTTCTAGCTAAGAAAATCTTCTGTTATGACCTGAATGTAGTATAAAACTCGTGCGGAGTCAGTAGTATCAGTTGTTTCATCCAAAGTGGTTGAATAATATAAGTTTTCCCTTTGAAGTATTGCATGAAGTTGTTATGTTAAGTTCAAGGTTAAAACTCATGCTTCCGATCAGTTATGGTTCTCCTTGAAAAAGGCAGTTTCTTGTATTTTGAAAAGTTATCAGGGTCTAAGCATCCTACAACTTCGACGACACACTCTCTCACAATTTCTACATCACTAAATGGCTTCACATTTTTCCTGAGTACAAAGCTACTTTATAAGTTGCTTATAAGCCTGGCACTATTTCCAGGTCTTATTGCTGCTTATAAGAATTGTATTTGCTTTTGATTTCCATCTTTTAATTTCCACAATACAACCTTTCCTGCCTATCCCTTTAATTTAAAATATTTGTGGTCCTTGTGAGGGTTATAACGATGACGAGCATTGAATTTCTTTAATGTTGATATTGCAGTATCACAAAGCAAGCAAATCACCTTATCTTTAGCAGAAACAAGATAGTATTGCAATTCCCAGTCCTCATTAAAACATCTGTTTTCTTCCTTCAGCGTTCTCTTGTTCTTCTTTGACGTGATGGCTGTTAAGCCGACAGAATTAAAAAATACTGTCGAGCTGCACAACTATTCACAAATCCCACTTCAGAGGGAAACACAATGCACTGCTGTCAAAAGTTGATAACAGAGACAGAGTGGTGTACTTGACCCCCATAAACTCTTGCCAACCAGCCCCATGTGAAAGTGGCGCCAGTGAGGTGGGGGAAGTTAGAACTAAATCATGAGCGTAGCAGCCGTCGATTTGGCCTTTATGGCTTACTAATGTTCTAATTGTGCCATTGAATCTGGGAGGATTCTTTTATTGACACTTATTTTATTCTTTGTTTAATAAAGAATATATGAAATGAAATAAAAATGAAATAAAATATAAATTTTTTATTTAAAAAATAAAATATAAAATTCAATGAAATAAAAATATAAAAGACAAACAAAAATGTATTAATAAAAAGATTTGTTCTGTAAAATATTGATTCACTCAAAAGGCCACATGAAGGACCTAGAAGGCCACAGGTTCCCCACCCCTGAATTATCCAATTAAAGTTCTAATTCATTTGGTTCTGTCAACATTCACTTTGATACAAGAAAGACAGGAAATATTGGAGTAATTGTTAATAATTTTCTTTCTGTCCAGAATGAAATCTACCAATTGTATCAGCAGTTGAACTTCCTCCAATATCTCCAGGCTCTTCAACAACACCAGATTGTCATGAACCAGTGGGATCAGTTTAAGACAAACGCCTACCCCTTTATTCCCAATCTGGTGAGTTCTGTATTTTTGGCAGATAGGAAGCATAGGATAAAAAAAGTATGTGAGATAACTAGAGACATAATGCCCTAAAAAATCTACATCCCACTTAGAAAGTAGAACAGTTGTGAATAAAATATTGTAATCTTGAAATTAAATCCCAAACAATGTAGCACAAATATAATTATAAATAACAATAATAGCAATAGTAACAAATAAGTACTAATTTCATTTAAATTTAACATATTTGCCCTAAATGTTTGCTCATTTATCATTTTATGTACTTCCTCAAACAATTCTTTAATGTAGGAGAAGGTAAAAATCATTACTTTCATTTAACGAAAGAATCATAATATTGTATGTATAAGGACATGCAAGGAAGCGCTTGCCCAAGCTCTAAGTAACATTTTCCATTTTGTTTCATAAACTGGTATTGTCTGAAGGAACTGTTTCTAACATGAGGAATAAATGTCAAATGTTTTCCGTAGCCTTTTGATCATATCATAAAATTAAAATCTTTCTTTTTTTTTTTTAATTTGGATACAGGACAACGAACAACTCTGTGAGGTAAAGCATTGTATTGCAAAGATAACACCACCCTTGTAACTACCAATATATTATACATTGTACTAGACAGTTTCTATTCTCATTTTTTAAACAATAAATCTAGAGTTACCGAATCTGAAAGAACTGGAACTGCAGCCTTGTAAGAAAAATTGGGGGAGGGCAGACCAAGAATGTATGCATCGAAGGATTCAAAGAGAATTGTGCTAATAGACACTACCAAATATTTTAATGCTATTTTTAAAACCACCCATTAATATTGCTACCACACTAGAAGACATAGTGTGCATCTGAAATTTTGTAAACAGAATGAGAGGAGTCCAGTGTATCGCCCTGGAATAAGGACTCTAGTTCATCCAGATCTATACAAAGGGCTATTGTCTAAATGTCTTACTGCATATCACAGATGCGTATAGACATTTTCAATGCAACTCAATAAATAGCGTAGTTTTATTTCTACTCATTTCATCTCTGAGAATGATTAAAAGTCCAAAAAAGAGGGGGGTGGGTTAAAAAAAGTCCAAAAAAGAAAAATAATAATTTTATAAGTAATTAAAATGTATTATTTTGATTTTTTTAAGGAATGTTCCAGCTTCCCTAAGGAAGTAAGTCAAAACTACTTATATCAAATATATTAATATTTAAGAAATTATTTTTTATTATTACTTTTTCATTTGTAACAATAAATGTTATTTATTTTATAGCAAGATAAACAGGAAAATGATGTGGTTATGCATACCAGTCAGGTAAAGTTTATTTATCTATTTATTGGTTCATTGGTAAAATGTATCCTAGATACATTTACATTATTTTTTTATCAGTCTAACTTCTTATAAGCATCTTTTTAAATCTCTGAGCATGAAAGAGTTGATATTTCCATTGATTTAGATACCATGAACAGATGTGAAGAGGGTTCCAAGAAAATAACTTGTACTCCATGTGTGAACCACTTTGTCAAAGTCATATATCACTGGAAGGATTTCTTGGTAGTGGTTCAGCATCTTTTTATAATCAATTGGTTGCAAGATTGTCAACGAATGATAGATTGATATTTATATTCCTCTTGTATCAAGAGATACACCCATTTTTATTCCTTCCCAAGAATAGAACCTCTTACTCCAAACCTATGAGGATCCTCACTCTGAAACCTAAGAGGTGCAACAATTTCATTACACTGTTTTTGAGAAAAGAAAAGTACAGCTGGTTTGGAAACAGTATATAACATCAAGTCATATTGGAATAATAGGATTTTCTGTAACTTTAAATATGCTTGCCATTTTAACTTAAATTTGTCATTGCTAACATGGATTAATACTTCATTGTTAAAATATAAATCAAAGATATTCTGTATACAAAAATATGACAGTTTTGGTCTAGCATAATGGTTCTTCCATTTACACGGAGGAGCCATGCAGAGTTAATTGGTTAACAGAACGCTGGACAGTTCCTACACCAACGCACAGACACCAAATGGTCCAACATCTTGCTCCACCGCCCTCCTCCCATGCCCCATCGATATAGGAAAGTTAGTTACTGTTTTCATGTTAGCATCTAATGTCTAAAGGAAAACAGTAGATCTTAATTTGAGACCAATGGACAGTTTAGTAAATTGGAAACTTTTACTATTTTGTAAATAATCTGCATTTTTCTGAAGAGAAGAATCATTGAATTTATCTGAGTCTTACAGGGACCTTTGAATACTTCAAAATTAAAAGCCATTTTCTCTGAGACAAAGCCTCACTGTCAGGAGAACTAAGATATTTTACACTTTTGCCAATAATATGTAGGTGTGGGGGAGGATGATGTATGTATGTGAGAGTATACACAGGTATATTATATTATTCATAGGATACATATTTCATTCTAAACTGTCTTTTTTATCTTATGGTATAGTGTTGATAACCACCAAAAATTTGAATACTAATAGTTCATCTAGCGAGGTCAATGATACTTTTAAAATCAAATAATTAACCAGTTCATTGAGAAATACTGTTTCTTGCTGTTGGCTAATTATTTTAAGTACATTAAGTGTTGCTAATCAAAATATCCAATAGAAATAAAGGAAAACCTTTGTAAGATGGACACAGACACAAAGTCATTTTGTCAGTCTGAAATGAACTATCTACATAGCCAAGAGTAGCTGTTCTATGCCATGATGTTAGATAATGTATAATAGGGTTCTGTTTCATTAATAATAGGTGTTTTTAAAACAAGTCAATGCCCAATTAGGATCCTGTTAATTACCTTCACTATAGTTTTACTCTAGACCCCCTCTCATACTGTTGGAGGTTGAAAACTAGACTGGGTTATTAGTTGTATAAATCACAGGAATAAGAAACACCTGCTGTGGAAGGAAGAGCCAAGAGAGAGAACACAGTTAGTAGGGTTCTGAGAGAGGGGAAGTGTGGATTGTGGCCAGGAATCTCGTGGCCTGGGGCACAGCCCAAGGTCTTCCTCCTCAGTGCCTTCAGAAACTTGTTTTACCCTTTTTCTCCCTCTCAGTGTGGGCCCATGTCCACTAATGAAAAAAATAGTCTTCCAAGAAAGTGTAGGCAGCCCTTCCCAACCTTCAGCAGGCCTAATTAGTTTTTCTTCTCTCTCCTCTTTTTCTCCTCTCTCTCTCCCCTTTCTGTGTATTTTTTTGGATCTGCCTATACTCCATGGGAATTTGACATTATACGAACAATGTAGATAAATGGAGAAATTGAAATAAAATGTATTAATATTTCAGTCAAGAACAATTATAATGACACAGGGCATGCTCAGATAGTGAATATTTAAGCTCCTTGAATTCATAATAAGTTCCTATAAAGCAGGATTTTGTTTCTTGATGGTAGCTGCTTGGCCCTGAATTATTAAAATAATTAGCCTTAACTCTCAGCTATAGTGATGTAGATAAAATTACTGGCAGATTATGCAAGTGAACCTGATTTCATTTTTTCCCCCTTAAGAAATCAACTGAAATATTTACTGAGGTAATTTTCATTCAAATTAAATTAATAAAAGTTCACCCCATAACATTTTGCATTTATAACAGTTTATTTTTATTATTAACAGAAAACTGAGATGAGTGAATTACCAAAAATGCCTGATAAATTTTTCATACATTTATAACACAATGAGACTGATTGAACACTGCCAAAGTTCAATCCTCTATACTTGATCAAAACTGTCACAAGACTCCCTGATAATTCTAAAATCCCATTGATTGATTTTCTACTTTGCAAAATGCAAAAAAAGGATTTAGACTGTGTTTAATTCCAATATTAAATTCTACAATAATCTATGGCCAGGTTGGTATAGATGGTTCAAAATAGAATATGGAGTAGGGGAATGTTTATTAATCATGAAATCTATAACAGACACTATGCAAAGTGTTTTTTCTATATTGATTCATTTAACTCTAAAAGATATATAACAGAGATTAACTTGCTCAGTGTCATAGATTCTACTAAATTAAATTACATATTCTATATGACTCTAACAACCAGGGTTTTTCTACTAGACACAGAGAAGAAACCACAACCTGGGACACTTGTCTTAAATTCAAGAAATTATCCTCTTGCCTTCTACATGCACTGTTTTGATTTTCTTTTTTCTTCTTTGCTTCTGTTTTGTTACTTGAGTATTTTGGCCTTGGGGGTCTGAATTTACTAAAAGATTTTCTAAATTCTGTAGTTCATACTATGAATGAAAACATAGAGTTAATTTTGTATTAATAAAATTTCCTTTGGTTAGCTTCATTTGGTCTCTTTTAAGAATTTATTCAAATAAAATTTGAACTTATTTGGTTATGTCCAGGTCTGCTCTTACATATGAAATATTGTGAAAACTTATTTTTTTAGGACAAAATCAACCAATATTATAAGAAGTTTTTCTTGCCCCAATACCCAAAAGCTGTTCAGCAACATCAGAAAACTATGACCCCAGTGAATCACATTAACACAAATGCTGACCAAATTATCCCCACTCTGGTGAGTACTCCCTTTTTATTTTTAATGTAAAAAGTAGTTATCTTTTGTGGTAAAAGTAAGCTATGGAAATGAAATGAGAAATAAAATTCCAACAGGTTCTCAAGGAAAAGCTGAAACAAGATTTAAAGCTGTCTAGGGTGGAAGTTAAATTATTAATTATATAGTGCAAATGCAAATACAATAAATGAAAATAATAATGATAAATTACATTTATATTGGATTTAAATGTCAATGTTTGCTTATATTATTGCAGTTGATTCCTAGAACAATTCTTAGAGATAGGTCAAGATAGACAGTGATAATACATTTTACAAAGTATCTAAAATTCTAAAAAGTAACTGGGCCATATCTAGTTAACATTTATTCTTTATTTCATCAACAAATTTTTCATTTAGGAAATATTTCTTCTAACTTGGAGAATAAATGGGAGAATAAGAGACTGAACTCAGACAACTGACAATTTGATATAAACAATATAAGATTTGGAATCAGAAGATGACATAGATAAGCTGTTGATCTTAGATAAGCCACAGCATTTCTTGGAATATTTTTTAATATGATTTAATTTTTAAGATATGCACGCAGTATGTCTAATTATTCGAGAAAATCAAAACTTAGTACCTGTGGTTTGCATATGAGATGCCTAAAGAATGTCCTAAATATTTCCATGGAGATTTGTTATTGTAAATATTTTTTTAATTGTGTCATTTCTTTTCTCTTTTAAAGAGGAACTTTTAAGATTCTTGAAATAACTGCTTCTATTTTATTTTGGTAAGTGGATTTAGGCCTAGAATTTAAGCAATAATCTAGATGAGATTTTTATGTGAAGAATGAGATCTTAATACTGTTAATTAATGCAGTTTCAACTTTTATGAAATCATATTTTGGCTTATGAAATGTTTTAAATTTTGCTTGTACCTTTTTGCTTCACAAATTTATCTGTGTAGGTTGCATGCATGTATGTTTTATAAATTTTTTTTTAAAATATATTGTATTATAGTAAATTTTCTCTATAGTTAACGATACATTCAGCCAGAAACAATGGTTCTGGGTGGAAATCATGGACAGGCATAATGTCCACACAGAATTTTTCCTGTTACTTTCTTAAGCCAAGAAATTTAGATTCCACATTTCTGTTTGAGAAGAGATATATAATATCAAGAGAGTTTCATACACAATTTCAAGCATTTTAAAACAAATTTCCTGCATCATTTTCTTTGGAAAAAAATCACCCTTTTTTAATACATAAAATCTACTTTCCTTCTTTTTTTAGTTACTCTCTGACAATTTAATCAATGGGCTTAAAGCCATGATGGAGAACTCAAGAAAACCATAATGCACATAAGTGTTGCCCTTTGTGTAGTCATCTTCTATTTTTCTTATATTGTCCTTGCAGTATTTCAGGTTATCTTCCTTCCTGGAATTTTGTCTCACTGAATTTATCTTCCTAGTTCTTTTTCTATGCCCTGAATATACATTTGCAGCATGACAAAGTACATTTCAAACAATGAAAAATAATAACACAGTTGACCCTCAAACAACACAAGCATTAGCAGCACTGACCCTCCACATAGTCAAAAATCCACTTATAACTTTGGACTCTTCCAAAACTTAACTACTAACAGCCTACTGTTGACAGGAAGGCTTACTGATTACATAACCAGTTGATGGTCACATGTTTTGTATGTTATATTATTATATATTATATTTTTACAATAAATTATGCTAGAACAAAGAAAATGCTATTAAGAAAATCATAAAGAAGAACTATATTTACTGTTTATTAAGTGGAAGTGGATGATCATAAAGGTTTTTATCTTTGTCTTCTTCACCTTGAGTGGGCTGAGAAGGGGGAGGAAAAAGGGGAGGTAGGTCTTGCTGTCTCAGGAAAAAAGTCCACATATAAGGGGACCCACACAGTTCAAACTCATGTTGTTCAAAGTTCAAAGGCAATAACAAATAATTTATTGAGGGATTATAATGTACTGATCGCAATTTGAAGCTCTTTGCCTATATTTGCTAATTTATACTTCTCTTAAAACTTATGAGGTAGTTAATATTATCCACTGATTTGAAATCAGGAATCTGAAGCCCAATAGAGGTTAAATGACTTGTTTACCGAAAATCCAAGACAGATTTCCAGCCCTAGGGCTCAAATACTGCACTAATGATGCCATACTCCACCCAACGTGCACCTTGGAGACTTTTGAGAGGATATGTTTTAATTTGGGTACATTGTCACAAACAATTTTCTTTGTCATATCAGTTTGGTGATACTAATGATAAAATAGGGTCAGACAACTTGAAAAATGATTTCATGTGAGAAAAATAATAGCATAACTGTATAGATAAGAGCTGAAAATATAAGTGTATTTTATAAATAGTAATATTCATTTGCTGTCATTATTTCATATATTTATCCCACAGTTTTAAAAAGCTTATCATATATCCCATGATGTGAGAGACCTGAGAGATACAGAATTAAGATTCAGAACTTACCCTCATTAAGCTCTGTTCCAGGCAAGGACTGAAACAGCAATGCAGTGTTCTAAGTGCTGAGTTATCGGTAGGAGAAGGGTATAGCAGTACAACAAGATTAAGTGATAAATTAGAGGAAAAAATGAGGCAAAGGGTATTAAATGGAAAGAATGAATGAAAAAAAAAACAGAGAAATCAAAAAATGTAAAATGGATTTTGAAGAATTTAATTTTAAAATAATTTCTTGAAATGCCAGCCCAAAGTCACTTTACATAATAAAATTATTTTACTAAAATGAAGATTCCAATTAGATCAAATGGTACAAAATATAGGAAGCAGCAATATTTTGTATGCCTAATAAGCAATTTGAAAGATAAGAATAAATTGTTCCTTCAAAATTGAATGAAATATAAATATATACATTTTAATAAATAGAAATATTATTTTGGGTGATAGACTGAAGAAGCTGGCTATTATCTCTCATTCATTAATTTCATTAAATTTATCTTGCCAGAAAACAATTCCCCTTTTTACTTCACAGACTGAAATCCATTAAGCATAAACACAAATAGTTATTAAAATCCTACAATGTGTCAGGTATTATAATTGGCCACCAGAAAATATTAACTAATGAATATAAATTATAAATATAAAGTTATATAGTTTATATATAAAGAACATAAAGTTATAAATAATTACATTGTCAGACTAGGATGGATAAGTGGGTATATGTTCTATGTACACACAAACATTATCTTCTGGAATATAAGTCCTGACTTGTCTTTATCTCTTTTAGGTTTGACTAGAAAAATCCATCTTCTACAGTTTTCATTTCTACCATATAATTTCATACTACCAGCATGTTTGAAGAAGTTTATTGATAAGGCAGAAATATTGAGCCAAAGAAGACTCTGCAGAATGTTCCGTGAATTGCTGATATTCTTCCTATTCATGTTGAATTTATTGGGCCTGTGTTGTGGTTTCACATGAACTAGGTAGATGATGAAGATGTTTCACCGCTCTTTCTGAGTTATGGAAACACATTTCTTCCCCCCAAAAAATAAAATTTCAAGTGCATTGATTAGTGTGTAATTGTCATTTCTATTGTTCATATTGACCCATGAGGTTACTGATGCTAATATAAATAGTACTTTCACAATTAACTTTAAACTGACTTGGCTATCATTGGAAGACCTGGTACACTTTCTGCACACTTCAGTTTTACTTCTCATAACTGATAAACTTGAACGCTACAAATTACATTCTCCAACCACAGCTGGGTTCCCAGTACCATCCAGCCATCATTCTACCATCTCTCTGATTTATTCATGCTTATAATTTCCCATAGCATTAATCTTAAACCTTCGCCAGAGCCCTCAGTCTTCTTCCCTTAGTTCATATCATCAGACTAAAGTATGGAATGAGGCACTGAGAACATAAACCATCCCAAGACCTCATCAATGATGTCACCAAATGAAGAAACAGCAGAAACAAACAGATGGGTGCATGCATGGGTTATAAGGGAAAACTCTAAGGGGGTGGGCATATCCAGAGAAGATGGGGGTATGGGGGAAGTTGGATAAGGGAGGAAGGCATACAGATGAAGGTTATTTGAACTTAGAAATTTCTGTGAAGAATTTGATTGTGATGGAAAAACATGAGATGAGTTTTCGTAGGGGATTAACATTATATGATATGTATCTTTACTGAGTTAAACGTTTTAAAGTTTGGAGATTTCCTCTTTAATGTCATAGAATACATCAGCCCTTTATTCCTCCCATTGTATTCCATTCTATAAATCTCTCTCCGCCTCACTTCCCTTCTTATTCAGTCTGAATATCGAAGGAATCTTCAGAAGGAGAAGACACATGACTTATATTTTGAAAAGGTCGAACAAGCAGAAGCGAATAGAATTTTTCTTTGTTGTCATATCATCATAGAACATCCCCCATCCCTTAGCATTCTGATAACATTGCAACACACAATCCATTCTCTCTGTTCTCTATCGACCTCACTTTCTTTCTTACACAGCCCAGACTTTATCCTTCTTCATTTTAAATATTATCTTGATAGCTCACACAACTTCTCTGCCCCTCTACACTTAACCTGGAAAACACCAAATCGTGTAAAACTCTGAATTTGATTTCTCCTGCCACTTGACTTAAGCAGATGAATTTTAAAGTAAGTTTACATTTTCTGAACTTCTTGGTCACCAAAGACATCAAACTTCTTCTTATTGGCACTCTGCTAAGAAGCTTCAAATTTATCTCACCAGAAATCAATTTTCTTGCCTACTTCATAGAAGATATTACGTGCAATCTGGCACATGAACACTATCCACCTCTTATTATGACACATCAATAATTTGATCTAAATCTGAACATAACTCCAACTCTCTCCTTCAACTTTCAAAGGGTATGTGACCTTTCTATAGTTCAAAGCTTATAGATATTTTGAGATTTTAAAAAATTTCCTTTGTAATCTATTCTTCTGAATGATGTTCACTGTAGCAAAAGTAATAATGATGATTATAATATCTAAATCAGATCAGATATGTGAAGGTAATTTATATATTTGTCTAAATTGACTTTACTACTATTAAAATTACTGTTGTATTATTAATATAACTATAAACATTGTACCTTACAGATGAGGAAATTGTGGCAGAAATAAAATGTTTCCTCCAGGGACACTATTTTATTTGATCCTATTGATTAAGATTTACTTCCCAGTATTTCTTATGATTCACTTTGACTATATCTTCTAGATATTTTTTATGGATCCCTTTCTCCTACACAAACACTGATGCTCTCTAGGGCTCTGACCTCAGCTAATTCTTTTCTAACTCTACACATGTTTTCTATATGATCTTGTATGCTTTAATCTCTTTAACTGCCACATATAGTCATCTGATTAAAATCAGGTCCTAGTTCTCTAGAATCATCTCTAAATTTCTGTCACTTTCCCAAATTTAGACATATATACCCAATTATCTCCTGAATATTTTTGTTGGTTTCTTAATATGTACGCAATATGAGGGACAAGTGTAAGCATTATTTCATTTGAATACCTAGTACTCTAAACATTATCTTATATCCAGATGAATAATCAGGTTATTTCATATATTTTAGACCTAATATTTTGTTTCAGAAAATTAAAATGGAATATCACATTTATTATATAGCTCCTTTTTGCCATGAGTAAATCAGCATCTACAGTTTGTCAAAAAGTTCTTCAGATTTAAGATTATCTCATTGGTATAGATAGATGGCCAAAGATTTTTTTCTGTAATTGGAAAAGATTTAGGAAATATTAAAACATAAAACACATCATAAAATCTGGCCATGAGTTGCATACTTATGAGAAGATATTTAGTAATATATTTTTGAAGAATATCTCTCTTGCAAATTAAACCACTTGACATTTTCAAGAGGATAACAGCCATTCGTGGATGAAAAGGTAACATTTTTCCATTACTACAAAACAGCAGGACATGTTCATGTCCATCAGTCTTCTGAAATCATTCACTGTTTGTGGAGCATGAGAACAAGACTGTTTCTAACAAAAGGGCTACTCATGTTTCTCATCTGTTCTTTTTTTCCAATTGTCAAACATAAGCCACTCATTTCCTCTCTTGTTAATCACAAAATAATGAGTTTTATAGTACCCATTTTTTAGTGCTCCACTCTGAAAGAAGGGGTCAGTTAAGTTTAAATGCAGCTCTTAAACTTCATTTACAAAAAAGTAGTGCCTTTGGAGCTTTAACGTCCAAATTCCTATATTAATTTTGTCCCTATATTGCTTTTTATCTACTGGATTGAATTTCTCATCTATCTCCAGAACAGTATTCAATAATCATTATTTGAATGGCTAAGGGGAAGGAAAAAAGGAAGGAAAGGAGAAAAAGAAAAAAAATGCAGGAAGGAAAGGAGAATGTGAAGGAAAATGGAAGGCAAAAGGCAAAACTATGAGAATGGAAAACTACTAAATGGTTGCTAGAACTGGGAAAAAGGAAAGGAGTTGACATGAGAACATGCAGAATACTGAAGTGCTCTATGAACGTCAATCCCATCAAGTTGGTTGATAGTGTGTTCAAAGCATTTTTTTCTTACTAATTTACTCCCTCGGTTTTTTGTTTGATAAAATAATTCTCCTTCACTTTTGAAGGATATATTTCCTGGACATAGAATTATGGGTTGACAGTATTCTTCTTTTACCACTTTTAAGATACCACCCTTTTCTTCTTACTTCTGTAGTTTCTGACAAGCAATTTGCTGTAATACTTATCCCTAGTTTTCTGTGGGTAATCTGTCTTTTTTTTCCTCTTGCTCTCTTCAAGATTTTCTCTTTGTCTTTGATTTCCAGAAGTTTCAATGCAACATGCTGTGAGTGTGTAGAATTTATACTTCTTGGTGTTCTCTGTCTTATATCTGTGCTTTTAGTTTCTGTCATTAATTTTAGAAAGCTGTTGGCCATTGTTTCTTTTACTATTACTCCTGCTCTATTATATCCTTTTTCTCCTGTGATTACAATTACATGCATGTTAGAACATTTACTATTTTCGATTTGATCATTTCTATGACATATCTTTAGTTTTTCTGATTCTTTCCTGGGTTGTGTTGAGTCTACTGAGAAGCCAATCAAATGTTCTCTTTCCCTCTGTGAGTGCATTTTTTATTTCTGGCATTTCCATTTATTCTTCCTTACAGTTTCCATCCCTGTACTGAAATTACCTATGTGATCTTGCAGCTTGTCTACCTTTATCATCACAATCTTTAATATAGGAATCGCCATTATTTTCAATGCCCTGTTTGAGAATTCCAACATCTGTGTAACTGACTCATTCTTATGATGATTACTTTTTTAGACAAATCTTCAGGCTGTTTTCTTGACTTTCTGTATGTCTCATAATTTTTTAACAGCTGCCAGATTTATGTTATAGTCAGTAGATAATGAGGTAAATATATTTGTGCTCAGACATGAGCACATTTTTTCCTACTGTAAGGCTTTTAGTTTGAGCAGTCGTGTTAAACCAGTTAACAAAGAGAAAATTAAATACTTGGAAAATTAAATACTTGACAAGTATCTCTCACTCCTGACAAACACTGCAGCCACTATTACCATCCAGGAGGGTATGAAGTGAATCGTGTCTTATTATAGTTTTTTATTTGATATTACATATTACTAAAGAGATTAGGTCATCAAAAATAAATTCACAGAGCGAAGGGCTCTTTCATCTTTTAATATTTATTCATAGTATCAATAAGTAAACTATAAAGTAGTTTATAACTACTACAGGAAGAGAAACCACACTGCTGTTTAAAAAATACATTTATGTTTTTCTATTACATGCCCAATATAAAATGAAGTAAAGCATAAAGTTCCTTTATCACATTTTCTAATCGATGCCAAAATACAGTCAAGTAAGTTTTGGAATGTGTATTTAGGAATTAAGCTTAATGTAGTTCCTAAATTTGTCTTTTACTGATATACTATGGGAATAACTTCCCTGCTTTTATGGTTCTCTGAAATGAGGGAAGGAATTCACAGCAAAATCAGCCAAATTGATAGCTTTTTTGTTTATTTTTCAGATTTGATGCTGATTCATTTCAAAACAAAAGAATAAACATCAAATTAGGGACTTCTTATAAATAACCCTGGGGAAAGGAGGCAAGATACATAGTCCAGCTCAAGACCAGGAGCCACAACTGTTAGTTTTCACCCAGAAAACAAGGTACCCCCTTTTTTTATATCAAGTTGCTCCTATTTTTAAAAAATTCTCTACCTGATCTCAGTTAGATAGACTTTAATAGGATGCCTATAAATGGATGGCATATTTATATTCTCTCCTAGTTTGCAGAGGTTGGTAACACAGGGTGTTGTGTAAATCTAATCCACAAAGCACCTGAATTCTCACTTCAGACTGCAAGGGAAGGGACTTATCAAAGGAATTTTCTTTTCTGTAAGTTCCTACTGGACTCAGGAGTTCACATAAACCCTAGAACAGGTCAGTTCTATTCAGGAAGCCTCACGTTCTTCTGAAGAACTGAACAATGTGGGCAAGTAAGCCTCTCTCTTTTAACAACCTCTTTGAAGAGAAAAGAACTGAAGAAAAGAAGAAGAAAAATTTTATCATTTGCATGTTCTATAAATGTTTTGTTCCTTCTGGAGCATTCTAAAGTATTAAATCACAAGTGATCCATGGGTTGATACACAAATTGAGAGACTGTGAGACGCTGGAGAAAAGATTTCTAATGTTGACAAATCTGGGATTTTTCCAATTCTGACATGATTTAAGGACTCTAAAATTGTAATTCTATTATCCTTCATTAGTTGTTAATTATTCTGATAGGAGCAAACACTTTACTTTTATACCCTTAATGAAGAAGAAATAGTTATTTTTCTTTACTAGAGTTGCCAATTAATTAGAACTTCCTTATTTAATAGTTGTCATATTAAAGACAAAAGTCAAATTAAGTACAAATATGCTTATTGGATTATGTATAAAATAAGACTAACTTAAAATGGTATTGTTTGAACTGATTTTGCTTGAACAGGTAAATTTGTGTTTGAACTGGTGAATTGGTGTTGTTTGAAATAATTCATATTTTTGTTTCTACTAATTAACAGTTTTAAGCAGAAATATTAAAATATACCACAGGGAAATTTTGGCACTATAAACAATATTACTTATATGGAATTTATTTTAAAAGCACATTAAATAGGGGAATGTGCATTTTCTTAAGTAGTTTCTTTTAATTATTTATAGTTTGGAGCCATTGTATATATCTCCAAATCAAAATGATAGGTTCCCAAAAGAATAGTAGGGTAAGAGAGGGATTCTTCTAAATTGTTCAGACAATTTCCGTACAATAATATATTTGTGAAAATCTGGCTCCAGTCAATTAAATCCTCTTGTTTCAGAAACATAGATATGGATAAAAGCAATCACTTTAGAAAGATCCATATATGTTAACTTTATATGGTTAATATTTAGGTCTTTAGTGCTTTATAATGAGCTATACACTACTTTAAAATAATTACACTATATTGAAGAATATTATCTTATTTAGGTATAATTTGTGATATTTTTATTTCTACTATTAATAATTAACCAGCTTTATTTTTTTAAGCAGATAAATTAAAATATACCACAAGGAAATTTTGTTACTATAAATAATTTTAGGAAGATCCATTTAATTGGTTAATTTGTTCTTTTTTTCTATTTGTTTATAAAAATATGACCCATTCTAAAAGGACTTTAGGTGGCTTACAAAAATGGACAAAACAGGATTTTGTTAATGGAAATAATTATTTGGGGGAGAGGAAAAATAAGATGACAGAAAAGAAAATAAAGCCAGAGGTGCAGTAAGTGTCCCTAAAGGAGGTGCCATAATGTCCTGTAAAGTTCTAAATATGGGCAACATATTTGACAGTAGAATTCTTGGTAGGCAAAGAACAAAAATACATGCAAAAGCAAGAAACACAATATCAATGTCTCTAAGACATTAAAATATACCGGTAGCTCAGGAAAAGCCTAGATACTGGCATCTGACAGGAATTTCCCCAGTGCTATGGAAAAAAAATGAGGTACAGATTTGTCCCATATGCCTTTAAAATTTAAAAGCAATAGTATATCTCTTTGTCTTTTTATTACTCATAAATTATCTCTCAATAAAAACCTGGTGTCCAATACCAAAGAATATTATAGCAAAGCTGATTCAATGTGTGATCAAACCCATGTTGGATAAATAGCTTACTTAGCCAAGATAAAGAATATGTTTTGAGAAATGTGATTTTTCTAGCCTTGAAAAATTTTGTTAAGGATTAGTCAGGAATGTATTCAAAGTCTTATCAAAAAACTTGAAAATTCATATTATTTTTATAGAATATACTTATATAAGTAATACATTCTCATGTAAAAATTACAGACTACAGAAAATAAAAGGGAATTATAAAAGTAATTATAAAAATAAAGTCATCTTCTAATTTGAAATAATCTGTTAAATACTTTAGCAACATTTAATATTTGTATATTCATTTAGCAATAGATCATGAATGTGATGCTATTATTCTTAATAAAACACCTTTTGTAGGGCATTTATATTTTTCCACATTATGAGATTCTAAAGAATGCTGTAAATGTCCTTGTATATACATTTTTTGGAAGTGTAAAGATGTTTTATGTTTTTGAAGAAGTGAAAAGCTATAAACTTTAATATAATCAATCAACTAGAGATTGGTTTGATGTACTCTGAAGAAAGTTGACCCTAATCAAGACACATACCTGAATATATGGCTACCCCACTATCCCTCAAAGACAGAGAAAAAATGATGCTGAAGTTTAGGACTAGAAATTTTTCCAAGTAGGTAATATCAATCTCTCACTGAATCTATAAAAACAAAAACTCAATAGAACACACATACAATGGCTACTTTTAAGCAATTTTATTTCCTGGTCAGCCTTCCAAGACAAATTAATTGCAAAGTGTGTCACTGGGTAACTAAATGAGTTGACTTCCACATAAAGGCAACCCCCTGAAAAATAATTTTGACTTTAATGTCATTTCTGTAGGTCACACAGAAATAAATTGCAGGATGACATTTTCGGTAATGGGTCTTCCTAGTCAAACTGAGAAATCCATGTATTCTTTTGTTGCTCTCTAGAAGACAAGTAATTAAGAAATATATTGTATATTTTCTGAAATGACTAATTTATAATATTAATGTTCATAGGGTCAATAGAAATGAAGCTGCTTCTTTGGGCCTGCATTGTGAGCGTGGCTTTTGCAAGGAGGGTGAGTCAAATGGGCTTTCAAAATTGTAGCAATAATAGTATAACCATCAAATAATTGTGGGCAGGGTTTTGTGCCAATGATAAAGTGATCACAGTGCTTATAATAAAGCAACAAGAGACATGTTGATGGGCATGAGGTTTGTAGTGTCAAACTTTGCAAAGGAAAATTTAAAAATCAAAACAAAGTTGAAATATCTGAAAATGGATAAACAGTAAGGGAAAGAGGCGAGGTCAGAAATGTAGGGGACTGGAGGAAGAAAAGCAATAGGGTACCAGGATCCTGTGTAAATAATCTTAACAGAGTTTATCTCTTCAAATCATAGAATGCCAGACTTGGCTTCCTGTGGCTGTGAAGGATCATTGCTAGACGTATTTATACATAGTCATGAGGAATATTTGACAGGGTAGCATTAAGTGGACATAATACCTTTAGTGAAATGCAAAGTAACATAGTATATAAACTGTGATGGCTTTAGTGTGATGTAAATAGATGAGACTAGAATAAGAAATATCTGATGGCAAATTCTTAACCCTAGCCACTATGCTAAATATCCTATTTTAAAATGGATAACATAATAACTACCCCATAGAATTGTTTTGAAGGTCAAATAATTATGCAAAGTGCTTAGCAGAGTACTAGGACATAATAGGAACTCAAGGGCTACTTAATCTTAACTATTATTACTGTTATTATCATCCTGACCAGACTTCAAAATATTATTCTATCTCTGGGGGGGAGGGAAAAGGCAACATATATAACCTAAACATTTATACCCCCATAATATGCAGAATAATAAATAATAAAGTAAATATATACTAAAAATTAAAAAATATATATTATTCTAATTCTCTAAAAGTACTTGAATTAAGCCCTAATTCTTAGAATAGTAAATGATTTTCCTGCACCATTTTTTTATTTTTATTCTGTAGTGCATAATTGGTGATCAATTCATAAACATATTGAAACTTCACTGGAGAATAAGTGGAAATATGGTACTTTTGGTACTATGAATAGGTGACCACACACACGCACACACACACACACACACACACACACACACACACACACACTGCAGACAAAACCAAGAGGTAAAAAGAGAACAAAAACAGATATATGAATAAGAGCCAAAGGATCTTTCAGATGGTAAAGACTTAAATATTAATATATTTAGAATATTTCAAACCAAAATCCATCTAGCCAAATAAAACTTCCTAAGGCAATCATTTAGGTCAAAACCATATAATGATGATAAAAATAATTCATATTGGTGACTCATTTCAAAAAAAAATTAACTGTAATAATTATAAGGCTTTGCAAGTTCTTCAGTCATATGGAAATCTGGGTACAGATGATTTCAAATATATAAACATATTAAAATATTTTCCTTTTGTTTTAGAGGCGGTTACCCTTCTTTGGTGAGGTAAAGTATTTTTCCTCTATATGCAAATGTATTTATTTTTATGTTAAAGTATGTTTTACATTTAAAACCTCTCTGATTTCTTTACATGCAATGAATTTGTAATGACGGCTATTGCCCTTAAAATATTAATGCTAGTAATCTCTACTGATTTGATGAACAATATGTGAAAATATTAGCATAAAGTTTTTATTTATTTTCAATGATCAGAGGCATTAAGTATACTCTCTTTGTAGGGTAATAAAATTTTTGCTATGCCCAGATTTTCCCCTAATGCCTCTATAATACTTTATAATAATATAATAAATTTACTTGAACAAACTAAGTGATGAATCTAGGGAGAGTTGGATTCATCTAATCCTTTAGATGATTAGAGCAGAAGATTGCATGAAGTTGTGGGGCAACCATGTAACCAGGTGTGGGTCTTCAAGCGAGCAGAAGGGGTGTGTCCTAGTGGTTTATTTGGTTTCTGTGTAGCACATACCCATAAACTATCCTTACATAGGGGACCAAAGTATGTATTGATTAACTGATATTAGATCTTTTTTTCAGTTTTGTCATTTTTGCCTCAAATTCTGGTGACAGGAGCATGCTAAGAAAATTATACTTGTACATTCGCACAAGTATGCAGTAGATAAACGTGACAATCTAGCAAAGAAAGGCCAGAGATGTGGGCTGGGATGTGCACAATTTTCAACCATTAGACAGACATGTAGCAGAGGAGTAGAAATATTTTGCAAATAATTTTAAAAAGGAGAAACAGTATGAGATATTATTTTGAATTTCTTATGAGTTAATATTTTAATCATCAGATTCCTAAGGCTATGATCCACAATACAAATAATTGACGTTAGCCTCTATGAACACCCTAGAACATACTATTGCTTGTGCATCATGTATCATACCTCGGGAGACTCTGGCAATATGAACCATAAGAAAAATTTGAACTCAGAAATTCAGGAAACCAATATAAAATTTTAAAGAAATACTGAATTTTAATTAGGAAGTTTGGTTGGGGTATGCAACCCCCCAGACATGTGAGCAAAGAAACCAGTCCATTTTTTCCAGTCTCTAGGGTCCCAATGCACCTTTAGCACAGGTACAGCACAGAACAGGCACTTATTTTATAATTTTAAAAATAAATCTCAGAATTCTCATCAAGAAAAAGCTTAAACTGTTCCAAAGCTCTTGAGGAACAATCTATATATTGAGAGGTTATATTGCAAAGTCCTGCTTAGTCACTGGTAATTTTGTGGTCAATACAAATGATGAGCTAATGTGAATATCTGGTGTAAATAAGCAACTAGACACAAAATTGGGTTGAAACATTTGGTTTCTTGTACCTGAAAAGTTTATCAATTGATATGAACAAGATATTTAAATGATAGTGTAGAAACAGCAGAACTGGGAAGATGTAATTGATCATTGTGCCTCCACTTTTAAGAATGTATTTCAGGATAACGGGACTATGTGTGCATAGTCTCAGGAAAACTGAGAAGCTGGCAAACAATTATGCTACTTAACAAAGAAAATTCCAAGTTACTCAGAGATTTGTCAGTTGCAGCCATTCTAACGGTAGGCAGAGAGCTAAGGAAATATGCTTTGACTGTAGGCAGAGCGCTAAGGAAAGATGTTTTTCCCTGGTGTAAAATTTAACACCAACATTGCTTTCTTTGTTGTTATAGAGATTTCAATCATCCAGTGAAGAGGTAAAATATTTTATATTTTTTTAGATTTTAATATATTGAAATATATTATTCATTATTCATTTTTTTCTTTAAAATAGCATTTTATAGCCAATATTCTTAAATAATTCAATATTATGATTTTCCTTAAAAAGCTACAGAGGTCATTTAGGAACATGTTTGCTTCTCTTCCTCTAATTGGTCCATTTTAATATGCAAATATAAGTATATTTGTATGTAGACATCCTATAATTTTGCATTCATACTAATATCTGCCCAGTTTCACTGCCTGCTTACAAGGTTAAACACTTTAAAATGAAATTTGATTATATAAGTAAAGTTTTACATCACAGAAAAGTATTGTTGATAAAGGCAGTATTTCCTAAGACATGTAAAACAAATAACTCCATCAACTGATTAACACTAACACAAACATATATGTTAAATATAGTTTATCATATTTTAAAACATTTATCAAAATTCAGAATTGCTTGAATTATAATTGAGCTATGCAACAAATCAAAGAATCCAGGATCCTGATATGTAAACCACAAGTGTCCTGCTCATGAAAACTGACAAATTTATGATAAGAAATAAAACTTTATGTATGCAAGACTAAGAAAGATCACAATCTTCTGTAAATTCTTACTTAATTTTGTGACTTTCGGGCTCCCTGATAGTCTTAACTGCATGTAAAAGACATGCCTAGAGCAATAGGAGGAAAACATGGAGGTCCTACCAAAAACAAATCATTTGAAATTTGATAATAAACTTCTAAGTAATGTTAATAAGCTACTCATTTAAAACACAAACATCATAGGAAAAATATGAAAAGCCAATAGTCAGCCATTCCGCATCCCATCTGCTCACCCTCTTAACAGCAATTTGGGGTGCATGGCCTTGAAGGAATGGAAGCTTTGATGAAGTGGGGGGGGTTCAGGATAAATCTGGAAACTGAGGCACTTGGAAGAAGTATAAGGAAGTGAAATTTTCAGTGGGACACTTTAATGACCCGAGGGCATGCAGGGCAGTGCTGGGGTGCAGAGAATGGGGTGTGGAGAACCAATCCTATAATCCCATACCAATCCTAGCAGTGCCAGCATGTGCTTCCTTCTATTTTTCTTTTGGCCTAGGCTGGCATATTCTGCAGTCTATGACATTCATATTGGCCTAAACACAAAATATTTCTCCCCAAGTTGGAGTTCAATTTTCTTAAGAAATTATTACTTTCTTATTTCAAATATTATGTAAATTCATTTGCACGAAAGAGACCTAATTTGGAATTCGTTAGACTAGCTCATTACTTACCATATGTCATCACGGTCATATCATGAGTCGTATGCCGGTGAGATAAACAATAACTTTAATTGACTTCTTTGCTTTTCCTTTAGGATTACAATGGCAATTATTACCCACTTAATCCATCTCTGAATGTTCCTTATGGCCCAAGGAATTCGCAACCTCCTTTTTATGCACCAATGAATACAATCCCCAATTACCCTGGGAATCCTGACACTGAGACAAGAGTACCTCCATATCCCTGGATTCTCACTTCTTCTGGAGGACCATCCTATGTCCCCAACATCCCTGGCTCTCCTTCAGCTACTCAGTTGACCAGTGCTTTCCCTCCTCAGCCTCCTTCTGGGGTTCTTCTCTTTGTCCCTCCTTCAAGCATTTATATAGCATCTGCAGGACCTTTTACCCTACCTGATGCAGCTGCACCTGATGCAGCAGCACCTGTTGCACCTGATGCAGCTGCACCTTTTATCCCACCTGCTGCAGCCGCACCTGTTGCACCAGATGCACCTCTGCTGCAGCCGCATCTGTTGCACCTGATGCAGCTGCACCTTTTATCCCACCTGCTGCAGCCGCATCTGTTGCACCTGATGCAGCTGCACCTTTTATCCCACCTGCTGCAGCCGCACCTGTTGCACCTGATGCAGCTGCACCTTTTATCCCACCTGCTGCAGCTGCATCTGTTGCACCTGATGCAGCTGCACCTTTTATCCCACCTGCTGCAGCCGCACCTGTTGCACCAGATGCACCTTTACCTTTTATCCCACCTGCTGCAGCCGCATCTGTTGCACCTGATGCAGCTCCACCTTTTATCCCACCTGCTGCAGCCGCATCTGTTGCACCTGATGCAGCTGCACCTTTTATCCCACCTGCTGCAGCCGCACCTGTTGCACCTGATGCAGCTGCAACTGTGGCCCCACCTGCTGCAGCTGCACCTGTTGCACCTGCTGCAGCTGCACCTGTTGCCCCACCTGATGCAGCTGCACCTGCTGCACCTTTTATCCCACCTGTTGCACCTGCTGCAGCTGCACCTGTTGCCCCACCTGCTGCAGCTACACCTGCTGCAGCTGCACGTGCTGCACCTGTTGCCCCACCTGCTGCAGCCGCACCTGCTGCAGCCTCACCTGCTACCCCTGATGTAGCTGCACCTGCTGTAGCCGCACCTGCTGCAGCCGCACCTGTTGCACCTGATACAGCTGCACCTGTTGCCCCACCTGCTGCAGCTGCACCTGCTGCAGCCGCACCTGTTGCAGCTGAGCCCCTTACAGTCAAACCTATTACAGTTCAGCTTCCTGTAAATGAGCCCAGTGATGCTGAGGCTAAGCCTGCTGCCCCCAAACCTCAGCCTTCTTCTCTTAACAAGGTAGGTTTCCTATACCCCACCATTGTAATGCATGAGATCTGTAGGAGAAGGGAAGACATATAACCTCTGCACAAGCAAACTATATCAACTTGGATATTTTGAACAGCTCCGTTGAGATACAATCGACATACAGCAAACTAAACAGATCAAAAGTGTACACTTTGATGAGTTTTGACCTCTGTACACATCCATGAAAGGAATTATCAGGACAGTGAACATATCTACCATACCTAAAGGTTTCCTTCTATTTCTTTGTAACTACACATTTCTTCTTCCATTCTTGGTCTGTTATTTTTTTTTAGACAGAATCTGTTACCCAGGCTAGAGTGCTGTGGCATCTGCTTAGCTCACAGCAATCTCAAACTCCTGGGCTCAAGCAATCCTCCTGCCTCAACCTCCCAAGTAGCTGGGACTACAGACATGTGTCACCATGCCTGGCTAATTTTTTCTGTATGCTTTTAGTTGGCCAATTAATTTCTTTCTATTTTAAGTAGAAACGGGGTCTCAGTGTTGCTCAGGCTGGTTTCGAACTCCTGACCTTGAGTGATCCTCCTGCCATGGCCTCCCAGAGTGCTAGGATTACATGCGTGAGCCACCACGCCCGGCCTGTTTTTTTGTTACTACATATTGGTTTGCATTTTCAGAATTTTGTGTCCAAGTGAAATCATACTGTGTGTACTCTTTTTTGTCAGACTTTGTTCACTTTTAGAGCTCTATCAATTAAGTTATATAAGTAATAGTTGATTTTTTGCAGATTAATTATTTTATGATGTGGATATACCATAATTTATTTACTCACTCATCTGTTGATGAACACTTTAGCTTCCAAACTGGATGTCATTTATTTACTTACTTCATAATATACTGGCTTAAACATCCAGTACAATGTTAAATAAAAGTGATTAAATGGACATCCCTGCCTTGTTCCTAATATTAGGGAAAAACATTAGGTTTTTCTTAATTATCTACACACACACACACATGAACATACATATCCCCAAATATACATATGTGCATTTATATATATATGTGTGTGTGTGTGTGTATAGATATGTATACACACACACACACACATTTTCTTCTAGGTAAAGAAATGAAATTTCCTAGAGAAGAGAGTACCATGCTTTCATTTTGGTAAGTAATAGATCATAAGAGAGATTTAGAAATCTAAGATTAAATAGACTAAATCTCATCATCTGAAACTACCTTTAAGTATACTTTGACTACATGAAAAGGAGAAAGTGGGGTGTGGAGCAGTGCTGGTATTTTGTGCCTCGGAACCTCTGAAATTATGAAATTATGCCCCTGTGTAAGAAACTTGGGTTACATTTTTGAACAGCTAGAAAGTTCTTCTTAAATTGCTTCAAACTGATTACAACTTGAATATTCTAAATAATAGTGGCCAACATGGGGAAGAAACTTCCATATGGGAGAAGGTAGAACTATGGGTGGAAAGAGGCGCTGTTTGTTAAAGTTTGCATGGATCGTTTTGTGTGCTATCCATTCAGCCGCATTTCTGCCCCACATTGAGATCTCCTGTTTTAGAAAACAATTTAGACCTGAAGTCTCCCAATCCCTACCTTCTACCCAGGCCCGCTCCCACCACACATACACCCCGTGCCCCAACGTACACCTTCCTGGGAAGAAAGGCACTGGCCGGGAAGTTCACCTGGACTCATTCCGTAGGTCATCTGATCAGGGCATAAGCAAGAAACTGGGTCACCCTGATTTCAAGTTCTTATCCTGAAGGACGAATCCCTTCCCAAAGCTGTTCAATATTTAGTGTTATGAATATTCACTGGACAGGAAAATGGCAAGGCTTTCTCTGACATCAGCCAAATCAAAACTTCTACTGAGGAGACACCAGTAGCTAAAGCAGCATTGAAAAGCAGACGTGATGGCAGTTACTGTTGGTGATGTCTCTTAACAGCAGCCATTGCCAAGGAAATGAAAAGGCACGATTTTTAGTTAAATACTGACTACTTCTGCATTCTTTTTTTTTGGTATAAATTTAAGGGTTGCAAGCGCAATTTTGCTACACAGATATGCATAGTGGTGATATCTGGGCATATAGTGTATCCAGCACTCAAATAATGTACATTGTATATATTAAGCAATTTCTCATCAGCCACTTCCCTCCCACCTACCACCCACCCTTCCGAGTCACCAATGTCTGTCATTCCACACTCTATGTCCATGTGTACATATGATTTAGCTTCCGAACTGGATGTCATTTATTTATCTCCCACTTATAAGGGAGAACATGCAGTCTTTGACTTTCTGTGTCTGAGCTGTTTCACTTGACTTTTATAACTGTTTTTCTCTAATTTTGTGAAAACAGACATTGCTATTTTGATAGGGATTGCATTCAATCTGTAGATTGCTTGGGTTGGCATCATTTTAATAATAATTCTTCTGAGTTGGGATGTTTTTCTGTTTGCTTGTATAATCTACAGTTTCATGCATCTGTGTTTTATACTATATAAGATGAACTGTTAACTAGTGAATTAGTTCAAGATATTAGATATACTTATTTCATATCTTAGCTAGCATCTGTATTTAGTTTCTTGCTATATTAATTACTTAATTCACAACAGGAAAGGGGGAAAATGCTACTTCTCTGGAAGTCTACTGATTCTCTTAAAAGTTTATCTTATTTGTGGCATAAATTTGTAGATGACCATTCGATATTGTCCTTTAAAATTATGTTAAAATCATATATCAAGAAACATAATTTTGCTGTAAGCACAAGTAATTTAAGGATTTTATTATACAAAACTAATATGTTATTTTTCTTTTTCAGATACTGGTGCATAAATCAGTTAAATCTACAAACATTTTCTTTCTTTTCTGAAGACTATTTCACTCAGTTAAATTAAAGCTATCAGTCTCACCTCATTGATCAGTTGTGATAGTTTTTTATAGGACTTAATTTATTTTGAAGTAATAGTGTGTTTTTTTCCAATTCAAAATATCAAAAGCCTACTTCCTAAAGATGTAAATAATTGTCATAGATTTGAGCATATGATGGTAATAAGTGCTTTTCTTTTGAGTTCTATCTAAAAAAATACAATACAAATAGCTTTCTTTAATATTGTATTTCCAAATTCTTCTCCTACAAGTGGACAGGAGGCAGTTAAAGGAAAAACAACCTTCATGGCTTTCCTATCATTCTCTTCCCCCAAAATGTTTCATCTACTTTTAAAAAAAATTATTTAGCATCAATTTATATAGCACTTTTCAATGCTAGGAGCTGTTCTAGGCTCTTAAAAAAAATATTAACCCATGAAGCTCTGGCAGGTGGGGGCGTGGCAGGGGCAATATATGTAGCCCTGACAATATTTGTGCTCTCATAATATGATGAAATAAAAGAAGGGGGAAAAAAGAAAAAAATATTAACCCAAATCTTTATATTATAATAACCTTATGAGGTATGTATTATGATTGTCCTCATTTTAAAGACTGAGAAACTGAGTAACAGAGAAGCCAAATGAGTTGCCAAAGATAGTTACATAGAAAGTGTCAGAGGCAGGATGAGAAAGCATACCAATAAAATGTGGAATTTGAGCTTTATTAGAAGTTAGAAGATGACACAAATTAACATGAAGTTAAGAATGGTGGCTCTATCAGTTCCTTCCAGCTGTTGCAACAAAGTGCCACCAAGTTGGTAGCTTAAAACAACAGAAATTATTCATTCTCTCACAATTTTGGAGGCCAGAAGTGCAAAATCAATTTTAGTGAGCCGAAATCAGCAGGATTGTGCTCCTTCTGTGGGTTTTTGGGGAGATTTTCCTCTTCTGTCTTCTGTCTGTGGCTGCTAGCACTCCTTGGCTTCTCCTCACTGCTCATTATTTAATAGACTGTCACATGATCCCAATGTACTAATAAGTGTACCTGAGTAAAACTAGATTGGTGAGTTATATAGCCAGTCTCCCACATCTTACCCTGTTAGTTAAAATACAGGTTAAGCATCCCTTATCCGCAATGCTTGGCACCAGAAGTGTTTCAGATTTAAGACTTTTCAGATTGGGGACTATTTGCATATGCATAATGAGATATGTTGGAAATGGGGCCTACCAAGTCTAAATGCAAAATGCATTTATTTTTTATATGCCCCTTATTTACATGGCCTGGAGGTAATTTTATATAATATACTTAATAATATGTGCAACCTGTCACAAGAGGTCAGGTATGGAATTTTCCATTTGTGGTATCATGTCAACACTCAAAAATTTACAGATTTGGGAGCATTTTGAATTTTGGATTTTTGGATTAGGGGTTCTCAACCCATGCATTGGACTTCACTCTTCCTCCCAAGCATAGAACATTGTCACTTTCTTACCAAGTAATACAAGTCAGGATTCTGATCATCCACCATATCAAAATGTGAATCTACGTGTTTCTAAAAATCGAGCTAAGCTATCTGCCCCCTAAATTCATCAAATGTACGTGGTGAAACTTAGACTGGGTGACCAAATAAACACTCCCATTTAGAAGCAGTTATCACTGTCCATAACATACCTATATGTCATTTTGATAAAATGAGAAAAATGTTAAATTTCCATGGCAAAGTCATCTTTCAATAGGAAAGTTAATTTAGAATTAATTGGTAGTACAGTTAATTTCTTTGTAATTCACTACTTTAGCTGTAATCCCCATCTCATCCCATATTTATCTCATCCATCATTGAAAATGGTATTTAAGGTATTTTATATACCCACCAGTCTTTTAGAAGTTTAGAATGGTTGTTGTAGACAAGTAGACAACAAAGATAATCTCAAGTGTCCTTTAAAAGTTGAGAAGGTGGGGATTTTAGAGCTTTGTAAAGAAACAAGCAGTGATATAAGTGGCCCCTTTTCACCTAACATCAGATGACATTATTTTAGGTAACACTAAGAAAGAAAAAAATCTCCCCAATTAAGCAATGCCACCAGGTCTTGCTAATAGTCCTGCATCATGTAAGATTGAGCCATGCATCTCATTGTTTGAAATTTCTTTTATTAAAAAATATTATAATATTTTTATCTTCATGTGCATGGCTTGCCATCTGGAACAAACCTTTTGTATATATGACAATAAAAAAAACAAACAACCCCCCCCAAAAAAAACCAGTGTAGCTTCTTTTACTTAGGGGTGTTTATATTTTTCCACTGAGAGACAGTACCGCATGGGTTTCATTACTCAGGCAACAAATATATGCCTCATTAATGTCAGAATTACAACCTGCCACATCCTGTCACCCTCTTCCTGTGCCTTTCTGTTTATACCTTTTTGTGTCAATGCCAAATCTTATGTAACTTCTTACAAGACATTTAAATGTCAATTTACAAAAGAATTCACTGTAAAAAAAGTCAAATTTAACACAGTAAGAAAACATCCATTATTAAATATATCCTCAGTTTGGCCATATTTATTTATTTATTTATTTTGAGACAGAGTCTTGCTCTGTTGCCTGGGCTAGAGTACCTTGGTGTCAGCCTAGCTCACAGCAACCTCAAACTCCTGGGCTAAAGCAATCCTTTTGGCTCAGCCTCCCAAGTAGCTGGGACTACAGACATGTGCCACCATGCCTAGCTAATTTTTTCTATATATTTTTAGTTGGCCAATTAATTTCATTCTATTTTTAGTAAAGATGGGGTCTCGCTCTTGCTCGGGCTGGTTTCAAACTCCTGACCTTGAGTGATCCACCCGCCTCGGCCTCCCAGAGTGCTAGGATTACAGGCATGAGCCACTGCGCCCAGCCAGTTGGGCCATATTTAAATGTGAAAATTGTGCAACAAAGAATTAAAGAAAGGCATCATCATTGCGCCAATGATGAAAGATGATGAAATGGTAAAACAGAGACAATTTATACATGGAAGGTATCAGAGGAATTATTAGTGATTTAAACTTTTCTTACCTGTAGCAGGAATAACTAAAGTATTACCTAATAATTTTCTTAAGATACATGAAGAATAGTAACATATAAGAAATTAACCTCCATCCACATGGTGGGGGGAGTAGAATTAAATAGTCTTAATCCAAATAAGGAAAGAACTAAATAAATGTACAACAATAAATATGACAATTGGCACTTGTGGACTGTTCTTCACAAGAGTCTTAATTCCAACCTTTCCACTAACTCTCTGCCAACCACCTAGCTCCTTTGAGCCTCAGATTCCTTATCTTCAAAAAGAAGACAATGGCTTACAATCTTACAAATTTATATATGTAGAATTGGTGGGGAAAATATTGTATAGAATTTAGCATAGTGTAATCACTCAAAAATGTTTCTTCATGTTAAAATTGTTATTAAATCATTTAACAGGATATAAGCCAACACATATAAATAAAATAAAATCAAAGGTCATTGTCAAGCAATAGTCTTTAAATATATGCATGATTTAATGCCTACCACCCAGTTTCAATGGTTTCATATAAGTTATTTAATGCATATGTGATATAATCAAAACCCTGAAATTATAACAGAAAGTTCTTGGAAAAGGAGTGAAAATAAAAAATTAATGAGTGAGAAAAATCAATAAATTAATTATATCAATTGAATAATTAGATGGTATTATCATGTCCAAGTACCTAACTCTTTTGACAGTGATAAGGTCTTCATAAGTATTTCTCTTGGAATAGTTCTATTAACATTTCACTAACATCCAATTAGCATTCAATGTGAATTTAATATTTTATAAATGCATTGACTAGTTTTATTTACTATGCTGTTTTACTGCTGTTTCTATTTCAAAATATAATTGGAATCTCATTTCTTTTAAATGACAGGAAAAATTGCTTTATGAGCAGATATTATTATTAAAGTAATTTATCAAAAGTATATCTTAATTTCAACTGTATATTTTTAAACATTTCAAAATTCTAACATAATATTGACAAGCAGAAGCTGGAAAAGATTTGTATGGATTCTCGCTGTCTATCAAAGAACTTCATAGGTGAGTCCCTTTCATAAAACATTGTGACGTTCACAATCACGGGCTCTGTGCATGAGCAATTTAACACATTGTTAAAAGTTTTTGCCAGAACTAATTTTTGATGGTCTAATCATGATATCCGTGATCTCTACCTCTCCAGTTAGGTCCCATAGACATTTTAATTTGCAACATCTGTAAATAACGACCATGGAAAATTCAAGTGCCCTATAGAAAAATTTATCTGAAAAATCAATAATAAAAGTATGTTTAAATATTACATGAAACTTAACCATATGTTTTAAATCACAATACCCAGAATAGCTTTACTAAATACACAAAATAAAAGCTGTTGGTACTGTTTCTTTTCTTTTTCTTTTATTTATTTTTTTTTTTTTAGCGTATTATGGGCATACAAATGTTAAGCTTAAGTATATTGCCCATGCCCCCCTTCCCCTTCGAGTCAGAGCTTCAAGCGTGTCCATCCCCCATACTTTGCACATCTTACTCGTAGTGTTTGCATGTTTCTTGATTTTAGTGCGAAACTTCTCATTTCTCCAATACAGCCCTGGCCCTACTGCCCTATAGCGCCACCTAGCGGGAAACACAGCAGTGAGCTTTCCACACCGAACTTCACTTTTGTAATCGGGAACCTAGAGGGAGTATGTCACACACACTCACACACACACACACACACACACACACACACACACACACAGATTAATAGTTTACCTAAAATTTAAAAAAGCTTAGCTGAGAATATAGAGTCACTGTAGTAAAACAAAAGAGGTACAATAGCGTCTGACATGCTTTGCAAAACATATCCTTGGAAACTCTGTATCTCATTCTCAAAGATGATTCATAATGTTTTCATCTCATAAAGAAAAATTCCACATTTTGAGGGCATTTCCGTAACCACAGCAGTTTAACATCACATGAAACATCAGAAAACATGCTGGGGAGGTGTTTGAGGTGTCAGAAGAT